AAGAATTAAATTAATAATATTATTTTTTTTCTAAATAGATCTTCATTAGATATAATTATTGACACTATTGAAAAAATAATGTCATATCGAGACGAAATTGATTCAAAAGAAGATGCAATTGATAAACAACATGATTTACCAGTTTATCATCGTATTCAATATGTTTTAAATGATTTTATTTCTCATATAAATCAATTTAATAATGAGAAAAAAAAATCTTTTTATTCAATTACTCTGATTTTTCTTCAATTTGATAAAACATTAGCTCCTCTCGTAGGAAAATTATTAATAAAAATAGCTCAAAATAAAGAAGATATTGAAGATGGATTAAAAATTCTGGAAGAAAATTTATCGAAAAATTATTTTGAAAGAATCTTAACAGAATTATCAAGTTTTATTAAAAAAACAGATTCTTGTCCGTTTATTCAATTCTTAAATGTTGATGAAAAACTTAATTTAGTTGAATGGTTTATTAAAGAAAAAAATCGATCATTATTATTTCTTGATTTACTTATAAACGATATATTTAAACAATCAGGTGTTAATCGAGAACAATGTCAAAATCTTCTCCGATATTTACGACAATCGAAAAATTTATTTATAAAAGAACAAACAATGACTTATTGTATATCTTGGGAAGATGCAGAAATCAACAATGATGATCAAATGAGCGTTTCTGATCAATCGTCTGATTCTGATATGTCTTAATAATAAGTATTAAAATTTAAATTATAAAACATTAATTTTTATTTTTGGAAATAAAACTATTTTAAAGTTTAACTACTTCATTTAATTTATGGTGCGGGCACCAACACGATACGATGAAATCAAAGAGATATTTCAAACAATGGTCTTACATCTGCCAATTGCTGTCGTAACGAACCAACAGTTTCATCTTCTTCTGAATATCGTTTTTCATCGTCACAGTATCGTTTAAAGTAGAGTCGGTTTATCGATGTACTCTTCACTTCTAATGGTAGATCTATTATAGCGTTGAACGCACTATAATACGAAAAGTCTAAGAACGATAGACGTGTTGCACGAGAAATTAACAATTGAATTTATTTGGCACATTCTTCATCACTATAATACCGTTTTATCTTGAATGAAGTTAAATAATCGAATATTGGAACCATTGATCAGAAATGATCACTGACAGGAAATAATATTTTCAGTTCATTTAATTTGTAAAATTGAACATCAAATAGTTGAAATCATGTCGTAGGCTTCACATCATAATCTAATGCACGAACACCTTTCTATGACTGTTGGTTCTTCTCATATGGATCCCTTCCGTTGGATTTCAATGATATTGAACAAATCAATCACGTTCAACTAATCAAAATAAAGTTCGAAATATATCAAGTAGCTTATTAACTTTTTTTATGATATAAAATAATCCTATCCAAAACAAATTCATATTTGCAAATGAAATCCTTTTACGTATGATATCACTTGCCTTATTTCACTTTCTCACCTACTCGAAAATGTTTATAGATAAAATAAAAACGATGATTTGTTGTTAAAGGATTATGAACTTACTCATTTTTTCCACTCAAAGTTCTTTGAAATCACGATTCAAATTCGTCTAAAAGTGGATTTTCTGGATGCTATAGAAAGAAATTTAATGCCAATCACGGGACTCGACATATTTTGGTACTTTGTTTTCATTATTCTTACTCTTATTTTTTTGCATATAGAAAAATACGCAAGTAAAGTAGTTTTAGTCATGACATTCAACTCTTTCTATCATATAACACGTTTCAGATCAAAATTTCACATGTGTAAATACTGTTTAATAACATCGCGAAATTCGTTTTTTTAAAATCTATCACATAACAATTATTATTCCTACTTAAAATTTTAGTATACTCATCTGATAATAACTGATCATTATTAGTTATTAACTGTGTATATGATTTAATTGGATGAGAATATTTTTCGATCACCAAATTTCATTTAGCTTTATTATTTTCCACAAAGTTTTTACGTTTGGCATCATTTTCTAGCCAGTACCTTCCTTCGTATACCCAATCTTCCTCCACACTCAGATCCCCACCCATAGTGAAATAGATATTTACATCAATTTCATTGCATGATTTTGATTACCAATCAAATTTGCTGCATTTACCTAATTAACACAGCATTTTTAATCAATGATTTCGAAAAATATCATTTGTTATGCCTGTTTCTTCTATTTTTTAGCTAACTGAATCACCACACGCAGACATGCATCGACGCTTTGACTCATATCCTTACCCCTCACACTGATACCCACATCTCGCACTGTCAACTACAATACAGAATTGAAAGAGTTTTCGTATGCACATCTCTGCATTCAGTAAAATATTCATCTGGTGTGATTGAAAACGTTCTTTTACTGTATTGGGTGAAGATTGTGATATAATTGAATTAAAAGGCGAAGAACTCTTCTTCTTCCTACATATAACTCTTGAACTGCTGAAACATTAAACACGAGAAATTGTTTATAAAAAATAAGCTAAAAATTGATCCATATATGTTAATGATGGCGCAAGTTGTAAATCATATATTATAATATATTATGAAGTGATTATATGCTTTTCTTTTGAAATTATGTCCTTTGCGACGGAAGATCATCGTATCGAAAATAACTCTTTTCATGAAATCTTCAGTCATATGAAGAAATGGCAGCCCACTTCGTAGGGTTTCATTTATTCTTTGCTTTATTATTAATGATTGATATTAACAAATGTAATCAGCTTTCATTATCAAAATAGGCACTTTAACGAAAAGCAACATATGCATAAGTATAGTAGTGTTGATTAAGCAATTAATTTCTTTATATTTTTCTTCAGACAGTGTCTGTCATTATTTTATAATTTTCGTTTCGTTAACGAAAGCTCTTGTTGTGCCAAGAGAGGAACATTATAATGATGGTGGAAAGATAACTGTTGCTGTCGAGCAGAATTCTAAAAGTAAGTTTGATGTTATGTTATGAGTTGAGTCAAATGTTTATGCATGTAGTAATAGAACACTACATAGGTTCTGTGTCCAAGATAAACAAATGCCGATAACACTTGATAAGCATAGCTTCATGACACTCGTCTAGTGAATGAAATCATATGAAATAATGTGTTAAAATAGATAACCATGGAAGACAATGAACAATTAATTGCAGTATTTTAGAACAAAATCTATAATCTAATATAATATTTATTAAAGCTCTCAATTACTCCACACAATAAATGAGAAAATTATCGTATTAAAAGAGTTCAACCGATAACTAAAAGAAAAGCATTTACAAAATGATAAACTAGCATCTGAAATTGTCTCGGTTTGCATTTCAAATCAAACTCAATATTGACAAGAAGTTTCATAGTGTCTCAATAAATGTCAACCAATTTTTTGTTATTCAATCCGGCCGTGCCAAAAACTGGCAACTCATCAATTCTTTTCCATACTAAAAAAATATTTTCGTTTTCAAAATAAATGATTCTATTCATTATTCATTTGAAATCTCATAAAATATAGATTTTATGGTCTAAAATGACTAATCAAACTACGAGATTACCAATACACATGAATTCGTTTTGTCTAATGCATCTTGTCAATGATTGAGCCCATCTTTTTTCAGACAATTCAGTTTTAGAGCTGAACAACGGTATTGATTTGCATCAAATGTCAGAAAAAATTATTAAGTCATATTACATTAAAAAAAATCGATGCTCCATCAGCCTAATGTTTCCTCAACTTCTTTGACATTTTTCATAGATTGCAACGATTTCTCATACATATATGGTGTTTCTCTGTCGAAGTGAAATACAGGATAGCCAATCAATAATTACACGACCAAAGCACTCACTATCTTCCATTCTCGTTAGTCAATTGGACTGTTTTTTTCTCTGTCATAGACGACTCCTCACAGTTTTTATTTCTAGAAAACTTTTTGTGAGAACTGTTTTGTACTACAATTATTGATCTTAATAAAGAAATACACTACTGATCGAAAGCATCTCTCGACCTATGATCTCAGCCGTTCTTAAAGCTACAAAGTTGAAATTTTTAGCATAAGTACTGTCTCGTGTCGATGGCTTCAGTTGATGAAGAGTTACGATTAATGATAACTCTTCTCACGATAAGTTTCATAACTCAAGAATTGAAGGAACTTAAGAGCTGATCAACCTATTATTTTGTGAAATATTCGTAGATTTCGAATGCTTAGATAAAACTCAATGAAATTTATTTCATAAATAGCCTCATTAAAGGACTACATAATGATCGATTTGTCAAAGCATTAAACTTCTTCCCTTCTTTAGTTATAGGACTCACAGGGAGAAGAGTTGCCATAGATCATAACTCTTCTTCAACTCAGACGAACAAGAATGGGTTGGTCTCACTGACCTACATTTTGAAAGTAGCATAGATGCTAATAATTTCATCTGTTTAGGCCTAAGAATGGTTGATACCGCGAAATGTGACAATTTTGGTCAATAGTGCTAGTTCTGCACCGTTTCTATTTGACAGTTTCCATATAAATAAAGACTTTGACAAATTCTATATCATAGAGAATAAAATCAGTTTGATCGATTAAATTAGACTAGAAATATTGAATTTTTTTTCGTCTAATTGTTCATGAGTCACTATTACATTTATTCTTGACTTTAGCCAACAACAGAAATTTGATCGTATTTTCATAGAAAATCATGATTATTTTTTTATTATTTCTGCTGATGTCTTTATCATTCTTGACAATTCTCCCAATCACTATTTCGAATCTTATTTTTATTGAAGTGGTTGAAAAGAATACTTTTGTGAAGAACATTAAAAGAGAATATTTTCTAGTCATTAAGCTTCCGTATCTCTAGCAAATTTTATGAATGCTCATCATCAGTAGTTTTCTGCTCTATCTTCAATTATTGAAAGAAGCGCAAAATATTTAAATGAGAAGAGATAGAGTAGATTACATCATAAGTCTACTTTCTAGCTTTTTGGATATGCACATGAGATTAGCATCGAATACATTTTTTTACGACCAGTTCACCATTATTTTCCTTTATATCATAGCATTATTTCAATAATATTTCGACAAGTCTACTAATAATCTACATTTAAATGTTTATTGCTCAACTTAAGTGCATTCAGATGTTGCTCTCCTTTGTTCCCAACTTTATTATTTCTGAGAATGAGATGTATCAGTGTCTGTAGGTAAGAAAAACTGGTGAAATTGCAAACAAGAAAAGCTAATCTTACTTACGTTGTTATCTCGCAACGCTTCAGCTAAATATTCTGTTCCGTTATCTCCGATTTCATTATGTTCAAGATCTAATGTTGTCAATGTCTTTACAAATGAAGAAATACTTTACTAAAATAAGTGCAAAAATAGTTATATCAACCTGATTATTTCTCAATGCATCAGCCAAATGTTTTACTCCTTCATCTCCAATATGATTTTCATCTAAATAAATTTGTTTCAGTGTCTGTAACAAACAAAATATCAATATGAGAATGAGAAAAGAGTTAATTTTTCTTACGGCATTGTTTCGTAAAGCATAAGTAAGATATTGTGTCCCTTGCTCTCCAATTTGATTTGAGCAAAGATTGAGACTTGTTAGCGTCTAAAAGTATTATAAGATACACATATAAAGGAAACAATAAAATACAGCGGACTTACTGTGTTATTTCGCAATGCATTAGAGATAAGTTGCATGCCATCGTCGCCTATTTTA